AACCTACAATAGTCGAAGACTAAATTGGGTAAACTCATTATAGCCGATCGAAGACTAACTTGGCTAAAACAACTATAGTCGGGGACTAAATTTGATATTAATAGTGTTGAAATTACCAAACACCGTTAACAGGTGAATCAATTTGGTAAAAACCATCAAAGTTGAGGACCTAATTAAGTACAAAAAGTCGTTTAAAACTACGAGAAAAATCACTATAATCGAGTACTGAATTGGAAAATAACTCAAACTGGAATCAAAATAATTAATTAATTAATTAAAATAAAAATAATAAATATATAAAAATATATAATACAAATATATACACATACATATATATGTATGTGTATATATATATATATATATATATATATATATATATATATATATATATATATATATTTTTCATATTTAATGCATTGACAATGACCTTTTTTTTTTCTTTTTTTTTTGAGTTAATTCTATTTTTTGTCCTAGATTTATATGTGGAGGTCCACTTTTAGTGTTTTTTTATCAGAACATTCTTTTTTGGTTCTAGTATTATCGTGACATGACCAATTTTGGTCCTCTATAAAAAAAAATCATTGAAATTGCGTTAAATACAAGAGCATTTCACTCTTCAATTATGATTTTTTTTTTTAAAAAAAAAAACATAAAATATATAACGGGTCAACACACTTTGTATTAAAAAGATCAAAATGTCCTATTTAACAAAATTTCAACGATATTGTTTATAGAAGACCAAAATTGGTCATGTCACAATAATACTAGAACCAAAAAGAAATGTTTTAATAAAAAAAAGGTCTAAAAGTGGACTGTCACTTATAAATCTAGGACAAAAAATGGAATTAACTATTTTATTATTCAAAAGTAGATGAGTAAAATGGTAATGAGTTTTGTAATTACTAAGGGATTTGATTCCAATAGTAGGATAACGAAAGTAGCTAGGTAAACAAACATGATAATTGGTAATGGATATTAAAACTCATATTAGGATGCAAATTAAAAGTCCCCAAACACAAAACGCTCCGCATTCTTTGCAAACCCTTCGCACCTGAGCTGCTTGCATGACGGCTCCACCAGGGGCCGCCGCGCCCCCTCTCCGATCCTTCGCCGATATTCTATCAGCCTCCTCCACTCCCTCCGCACTGCGTCCTCCAGAAAGATTCAAAGGGATTCCTGCAGTATCCTGTTCAGATGATGATGTTAATCTTTTTGTGCACAAGTTCCGTTTCGCGCTAGTCGGGAAGTTTGCGAAGAGTCGGCCTCCAATGACAGACATCAGAAAAGCCTTTGATCTTATCGGATTTGGCGGTGCTTTCACCCTCGGACTCCTTGATCAACGCCACATTCTCATGAACTTTGACCATGAAGCGGACTTTCAAAGATGTTGGCTTCGGAAGACTTGGTCCATTAAAGGAGCCCTGATGAGGGTTTTCAAGTGGACGCCAGATTTTCGTCCAGACATGGAGTCTCCCATTGTGCCAGTATGGATTGCTTTTGAAGGTCTGCCAGCTCACCTGCAAGATAAGCGGGCCATTTACTCCATTGTGAATCTCATCGGTTCGCCCCTCAAGGTCGACAGCTCCACTCTTATTCACAATCGGCCTTCCGTTGCTAGGGTGTGCGTGGAGCTTGATGTCAGCACCACCCTCACGAACCAGGTCTGGATCAACAATGGCTCCTTCGGTGGTTTTGCTCAGAAGGTGACGTATGAGTTTATCCCGCCCTATTGCCTGGGATGCCGAAAATTTGGCCACCTTAAATCAGAATGCTCTGTGCAGTCGGTGAAGCAACATCATGATACCAAGCGGGAGCCCATGGCTGACCGGGACCTCGGGCGCCCAATCATAGTCCCACCTCGGAAGCGTTGGCGCCAGGCAGTAAGCCAAGTAGCAACTCCCGAAGATGCCCCAAATAAACAACCACCACAGGCGTGTCTGAGTAGTCATCAACCGGAATCGGAGAATTCGACTGCTCCTTTCATTGTTCCAGATGCCAACGCGCCTCTAGGAGCAACGTTAATAGATGACCAGGGAGTTCGACGTGCTCCGTCAGATTCTCAGCCTGGACATCTTTCGGATGGAGATGAGCTTCTGAATGCGGAGGTCTACAGTCCTTCGCTGTTGGATTCATGGAAGGAGGCGAGTAAAATGTTCGCTCTGAAACTTGGAGGAAACAAACAGGACAATTATGTTATGGTAACTAAGAAGAAAAGCCTGCCTAGAAAGGACTATTCCGCCCAAGTTCCAGCGGTGACCACACGCCTGGCGGCAGGGAAAATCGCTAGAGTCTCTTTTTCCCATAGACTCAAATGAATCTGCTTAGTTGGAATGTCAGGGGTCTACTTTCCTCACGGTGTAGACTCAAAAGACTCCTCCGACGTGAGCGCATTAGTTTTGTCTCCTTAATTGAGCCTATGTTGGCTCAGGACCTCTTGCTTCAGATGATCACCGAGTTGGGGTTCTCCGATGTTTTTGCCTCAGAGACATAAAAAATCTGGTTACTTTGGTCTGCGAACTTCGAGGCGGAGGTGGTGCTTGATTCTGAGCAATTCGTCTGCTGTACTATTAATTACTTGCCCTTGGCAATTTGTCTCCTCTTTTGTGGCAGTTTACGGTAAACACACGAAGACAGAGAGAGCGTAGCTTTGGGCCCAGCTTTCAACTGTTTTGGGGGGCTCTTTGCCGGTGCTCTTGAGTGGGGATTTCAATGTTATCTCAAGTCTCTCTGAATATAGGGGAAGTGCTGTACCAGACACAAATAGCATTTCGGACTTTTCAAGCTTTATTTGTGACAATAACTTAATTGATTTATCAGTGATCGGGAATCAATACACTTGGCATGGGATACGCACTACGGGGCCGGTTTGGAAAAGGCTTGACCGCTTCCTCATTAATGCAGCTTTCCGGGATGTTTTCACAGATGTGAGGATCTCTGTCTTAGCAAGGACCACGTCGGATCACACCCCAATTTTATTAACAGGGTCTAATGACGCAGTATCATGTCCAAAGCAGTTCAGATTTCAGAGTATGTGGCTTTCTCACCCGGGCTTCATGGACCTGGTTCGCCAAAATTGGAATTTGCCGGCTCACGGAGGCGGCATGCGAGAGTTGGCTTTTAAGTTAAAGCGCCTCAAGGATTCCTTAAAAGCTTGGAACAAAAACATCTTTGGGAATGTATTCGACCGGGTAAAAGATTTGGAAATACGGGTTGCCGAAGCCGAGTTTAGGCATACTGCCAATTCGACCAGGGACAACCGTCTAGCACTTCATGCCCTGCAGGTGGATCTCTTGCTAGCTCTCAAGCAAGAAGAGTGCTTCTGGAAGCAAAAGGCCCGAGTGAAGTGGCTGCGAGAAGGTGATGCCAATACAAAATATTTTCACTCAGTAGTGAAGGACAGACACCGGAGGCAACGAATCTCTTCTGTGAGAGATTCTTCGGGACAGTTATTAACCACGCAGGTTGATATCAAAGAGGAAGCTGTCAGGTTTTTCACCGACCTATTCTCGGCTGAGGATAATCAGGAGATGGGCAATTTGCTTCAGTGTCTGAATGCGGTCCTGAGCCCTCAATATGCAGACTCTCTCATGGTGGCTTTCTCGCATGAGGAGGTTAAAGATGCAGTCTGGAAACTAGATCCTGATAGTGCAGCTGGCCCAGACGGTTTCTCGGGGATGTTCTTCCGTCACTGTTGGGATATTCTGAAGGATAATGTCTGCAAGGCTGTGCAAGACTTCTTACTAGGGGTTCCTATTCCCCAGTGCGCAAATTGTGTTGATCCCGAAGAAGACCCACCCGGACTCTTTTGCAGATTACAGCCCTATATGTTTGTGCACCTTTATCAGTAAGGTTCTAACAAGATTACTAGCTACCAGATTGTGTCCTATCTTGCCGAATTTGATTTCCAGGGAGCAATCAGACTTTGTGGCAAGACGCAGCATCCAGGATAACATTCTTCTTGCCTTTGAATTGCTACAGTTTATCGATAAGAAATGTCGGGGCTCTAATGTCATTATCAAGCTGGACATGATGAAGGCATTTGACACGGTATCCTGGCCTTTTCTTCGGGTGGTTTTGAGGAAGTTTGGCTTCCCGGATTTGTTTGCAATCTTATTATGAACCACTTGGCGGCCACTCGACTCTCAGTCCTGGTTAATGGCGAGAGCTGCGGGTTCTTTCAGCCTTCAAGAGGCGTCAAGCAAGGTGATCCGCTGTCCCCGCTTCTTTTCATATTGGCCTCTGAGGCCCTCTCGCGGTCTCTTATTCTGAAAATGGGCGTTGCTATGTTGACACCGTACTCCATGGCCTCGAGCTGCCCGTTGATCAGCCACTTAGCATTCGCCGACGACATTGTTATTTTTGTAAATGGCACATCATCGTCCTTGAAAGCTTTGACAGATATCTTGAATGAATACCAAGCTGGCTTTGGGCAGAAAATAAATTACAAGAAAAGCTTCTTTGTGGCTTCAAACTGGTGCACTCGTAGCCGGACGAACGAGATGTCAAGGGTTCTGAGCATGCAGCAATCTACCTTGCCGTTTCGGTATCTGGGAGTCAATCTCTTTAAGGGCAGAAATTGACCACTCTACTATCACCATTTACTGGAAAGAATTGATAATAAGTTGCTCAGTTGGCAACGCAAATTGCTATCTCCAGGAGGAAGACTCACTCTTCTCCGGCATGTCTTGAACACAATACCGCTATTTACTATGGCTTCGGTCCAGTTACCGCGACAAACTCAATCAGCTCTGGAGTCTAAGTTCGCTAACTTTTTGTGGGGCACTGAAAATGGAAGGCCAAAGAGTCACTGGACTGCCTGGCGCAGGTTATGCTTCCCAACAGAAGAGGGTGGTTTGGGTATCCGGTCACATGGAACAATGCAGCAAGCATTTTCTGCAAAGCTATTATTCGGCTTCCTCCAGGGTGGTTCGCTTTGGGCTGATTATATGCATGCCCTATACTCAGCTGGTCGGTGAAATACTTCAATCACTTGGAAGCGCATGCAGCAAATCCGAGACTTTGTGGATGACAACACAGAGGTTGTCCCTGATGGTATAATTTGGACGCCTGATCCTTACAGCGAGTTCTCTCTGTCATCAGCTCATGAAGCGATGCGATATAAGGCAGCGTCATGCCTTTCATCCAAGTGCATTTGGGGTGGAGGGATCCCGTCCAAGGTATCTTTGTTTATGTGGAGGTTGCTTCGCGCCTTTCTCCCTTTCCCAGATGTTATCAAGAGGTTTAATGTCTGCTTGCCCTCGGTTTGCGCTCTTTGTCATCAAGCCTCGGCGGAATTAGAGCATTGTCTATATCAGTGCAATTTTTCCAAGCATGTATGGCGTCACTTCCAGGGTATTTTTGGTGCAACAATTGGTGCATCCTCGTTGCGCACGGAATGCCATGCTTGGTGGCTGCTTGCGCCCCCGGGCTCGGTGGTGGACTGGTATGCTAAACTTGTGTCGTGCCTCATTCTTTGGCATCTTTGGTGTTCATACAATCAGGGGGTCTACGGAGATGGCTCTCACTCGGTTTCCCAGACGCTCAGTCGAATCAAACAGGACCTTTTCTTGGTAGCTTCCACTCGGACAATTCGTCGTTTGGGACCGGGAAACGATTTCCTCCTCACAGCCGGCTTTTTGAGACGGTTCCACACGCCGCCTATCATGGTTACCATCTGGGTTAAATGGATGACACCACCTTCGGGCAGACTCAAGCTTAATACTGATGCGACCTATGGGGCTGCTGGGGTTGCAGGAGGGGCATGTTTGCGAGACTCTCGTGGGTAGCTCATTGTGGGTCTCTGCTTTCGTCTTGAGGCTGTGTCTGCGCTAGAGGCCGAGGCATTATCCTTACAGCGCGCTCTTTTCTGGTGCACGGCGTTTGCTAGGAGTCCTTCATTGGTAGAAGTGGACTCTCTCGTCCTCGCAACATTGTCGGGGACAGAGACGGCCAGGATACCGTGGAGGATCGCTCATGCGGTGCGCTACATCCGTTCTTGTCTGCAGGCCTGGGGTTCCACGATTACACATGTGTACCGGGAGGCCAATCAAGTGGCTGACGCTCTTGCTTCGGAGGGCCTAAATTCGCCAGTTGCAAGGGTCTTTAATTCCGTTAATTCTTTACCTGCTCAAGTCAAGCTGGCTTTTTTGTATGACCTTAGAGGCTTTGCCTCTCATCGGGCTGTTCGCCGTTAATAAATTTCGTTCGTTTGTTTAAAAAAAAAAAAAAAAAAAAAAAAAAAAAAAAAAAGTCCCCAAACATACACTACCAAAATGTGCACTAGAAACCACCTAGCAAACTCAAACCGCTACGACCGATCTAATGGTATATGATGAACATATGTAAATGGATAATATTGTTAGCCTATGGCTCCGAGTGGGAATCTCAGATGGTTGTACTTGTGCACTTTCATGTAAACGACAACTCTATTTACTTCGATGATCATATCGTTCAAAATTAAAGAACTCAAGTGAGGATAACCATCACTCTGGTCAGGGACGGATTCAGCATTAGGACAATGAAGGCAGCTCCCTCCACTGTAAAAAATTATACAGCCCCTAAACGAAGTGAATTAGTCGACCCGGATCAGTTCAACAGCCAACATATCCAATCTAATAAATTAGGTCAAACGCCATTAACTTAATTATGGGAGTAATCACAAGAGATGTGTCAAATAATTTCTTTAGTATTTATTATATTTTGCTATAATTATTATTTTTAAAGTTCATAACAATTAAATTTAGATCGATTCGACCTACTCAATACTTGTAGAATTTGAAATTTTAGATAGATTGAAATGCCTCGATATGAAGAAATCTAAACTTTGCGGCTTTGCCTCCTGCCCACTAATTTTGATTCCGCGGTATTTTGTAACAGGGAATTGAAAAGCAATAGTTGCCGGTGATTTAAGTTGGAAAGAGGAGACATCCATTCACTAGGGCACAAACTATAGATATGCTCTAATAACTGCTTCATTATTATTATGCCCTGCTTTTATTTTTGATTTGAAGTATAGTATTAGAATATAATTCTTGCCCACTCAGCTCAGCCCTAAGGCCAGGATGAAGAATAAATCATGGTGACTCAGACACTTAGTGCCTCATTAGATATAATGATTAATGTCTGGTACTTACAATGAGCCTAACGCATTAGATGTAACTCCTATACCGTGGGGAAAATTATTGTGTGGATCACGGTCTAAAACAATGTCGTTGAATTTTAAAAGTTAGAATAATGTACTTTATGTGTTAGTATAATGTACAGTATTTGTTAGAATAATGTACTTTATGTATTATAATAATGTACATTATGTGTTAAAACTTTTGGGGTAAGATAATGTTCTTTAATTATGAATTAGAACAATATACATTATGCTTTAGAATAATGTACATTATGAGTTATAAAGATATGTGTTGCAGTGGATCGTATGAAAAAATTACGCGAAACGACGTCGCTTTTAATTAGAGTGTGGTACGTCCACACAATAACTAATGTCTAATGACACTGTAGCTACCAGGCTCAAACTTGTGTCTTTGCGCACAATATATCACCAAAAATTAGAATATAATTTTGATTGAGGAGATTAGTATACTTATTTGGGATTATATGACTGCAAATACCGTATCGGATGATATGACTGCAAATACCATATATCACTGAGGGTACTATTCATTTTTGGAATAGTCTTCCTCTCCAATCGGAAAGGAAGAATTGGTTAGGATTTTTTTTTAAATTTAATTTAATTAAAGTTGTTGGCCCCGGAGGGTTAAGGCCGGAAACAAGTCTAGATGAGAGGGTGAATAGACTTGTTGAATTTTTAAACTTTTTCACAATTCGTTCAAGCAACCGATAGGTAACTTTAACGTCTCGTACAATATGCATAGCTTAAATAATTTATTAACACATTTAGTAAGTTGCACGTAGTTTATTATAGTAATGACGTTAAGTATGTTCATGCAGGCGAATAGTAATGTAAAGATAGAGTGAGAGTGGGAGATTTTTATAGTGGTTCGGCCCAACCAAGCCTACTACACATACTCTAATCTTCTCCTTAAACTTCTAAGGAGGTTTGCACTAATCCGTTAATACAAAAGGGACGTTCAAGCATTGAACACAAAGTCGATTTGAACGCTATAGGTTTTTTAATTCAATCGATTTACTCCGCTCCTTGCTACTTCTACCGGCTAGAGTTACAAAAGAGTTGAAGATAAAAGTTCTTCAATCTCCAACTAAGAAGACTTGGCTCTTGATGTTCTTGATCTACACAGTTTGAGTTGCATAATCTTCTTGAATCTGGATATACCCTTGTAGCTTTGATCTCTTTCCCTCACTCATCACTAGATGTGAAAATTTTGAAAGCTTGAATACTTAGAAAATATTTGATTGACCAGCTTGCTTGCAGCACCTTCTATCTCCTTGAGTGAACGTATTTATCATGGTTGAAAAAATTGTTAGGCGCTCTTTGGATGCTCGGGGAGCACCTAGCGCGCCTAGGCGACGATTAATCGGCACCTAGGTGCCCGTGTAGTTTTTATTTTATTTTTTACTTTTAAAATTTCTTAAGACTTGATAATTATAAATGAGCACCTCTCGGGTTTTTCGTGAGTTTGGCCTTGAGAGAAATGATTCGTCCTCGAGAGACACTAGCGTAACTGGTGAGAAGTCGTTGCCAGGCATCATAGGCCGTTGTAGCCGAACAGATGAGGGGTTGTATCGTGGCATAACAACTCTCCAGAAGTGCACTGATAATAATTTCGTCTTGGCGATGACCTGGGTTCATGGTGGTTTGAGCAAGATTCGTAAACTTGACTGGTTCTTTGGTGGAACCATCAATATAATATAGCCGAGGAGATTAAAGCCAATGAGAGTAGATTGGATTTGGAGTCTCCAAACTGTGAAATTTGTGGTAGTGAGTTTAATAGGAAAATTTGCGGGAGCATTAAGTTGAATAGCTTGGTTGGTGGTCAAATGAGGCAACGACACCAAGTAACGAAGGAGTGGAGGCCATTGATGAAAGAGTAGAGGAGGAAAAAAAAAACTTTCGTAGGAGATTTAGGCTCTTGATACCATGTAAGGATATGTTGAAAGTGTGTATTTATTAATGAGTTAATACCTAAAATCGTCCTTGACTATAGTGGTTTTTCTCAATTTCGTCCTAAACGACTTTGGTGACCTAATATCGTCCCACACTTTTGTGTTTTACTCAATTTAGTCCTCCATTTGTTATTCCGTCAAATTGGTGTTATATAAAGGGACAATTCAGTAATGTCAATATTGATCTCTCTTTACTTTCAACTTGTGAAGTGGGAAATTCCTCTTTCTTGTACGAATTACACCCAGAATTACTCCCGGACCTGCGAATCAAATTTTATATTCGCAGTTTTAGGAGTAATTCTGGGAGTAATTCGTAAAAAAAAAAAAAAAAGGATTTCGCAGTTCACATGTCTATGAGTTAAGAGATGCCAATATTAAAATTACTGAATTGTCTATTTATTTAACACCAAATGGACAGAATAACAAATGAGGGACTAAATTAAGCAAAAACACAAAAGTCTGAGCGAAACACAAAAGTGTGAGATGATATTAGGTCACCAAAGTCGTTTAGGACGAAATTGAGAAAAACCACTATAGTCGAGGACGATTTTGGGTATTAACTCATTTATTAATGAATAATCTCAGCAAACTATAAATAGTGTACAAAGGATGAAAGCTAAAGTACACAAATACATTTAGAACAGATAACGTCGGTTTTAGAATAACCGGCATTATATGTGGAGTTCTACTACATGTATTTCCAAATTCTACTCCATCACTTGTACTCCATGGCAAACAAAGATTGGCTATTTTCACCATGTGGGTCCTAGGGAACGTGACTACATCAAGAATTTGTGAGACGGAGTACAAATTGGGAGTAAGAAATGGAAGTGCATGTAGTATTTTCCTTATATGTGAGACGTAATATGTTATTTTTGTAGTAGTGATAGACATATAATGAAGCTTAAGCAAAATGAACTTTAGTATATTGTAATGAATTTCTCTGCATTTCATTATCATTTAGCATTTCATTAGCGTGAAACATTGTTTGTGTTAATGAATACATTTCAGTGTGGAATGAAACGTTGCCTGTTGGATAATAATATTATCACATTTAATGAAGCTTTTGGCTAGCAACGATTGCGTCGGAAAGATAATAATACAACTGCATGCTGTGAAGCTCAGAGACGTAATAATGGCGCTCTGGAGCAAAAGGAACATAGAAAATTAAGCTTTCATGGATTTTGTTTCTGCAAACGCAGAGAAATCCAACGAAAAGAAACGATATAAATAAGTAACAAATCTTTACTTGATGAGTTCTTTTATTTCTCTTATCCAGTTTGTTCTGAACACGACCTTTGATAACAAACTAATTATATTACAGATCAGATGTAAATAAGCTAAACAGATTAAATAACAGTATGAGCTACCGGGTGAAGCTGAATGAACATATGTATATACGTAGAATTGTTAGTTTGAGCCATCCTGGTTGCTCCAGAACTTGGTCTTCCCATTGATGAAAACAGTTGCTTTGCTATCAATCCCAGGCTCCGCCACCCATCTTGTACCGCGATCTTCATCGCTAGGCCAAACTTTGTAGGCCTTGCTCACAAACCCGTCGTCCCTCGGATAATCTTCTCCCTTCCAAGCCTTCTTGCTAGGCTTGAATTTGAACAGTCCAAAGAAAGAAAACCCAGACTTCTTGCCCATTCTTGAATATATTATGTTCTTGAAGAAAACTGTGTAGAATTTT